CTGGTGCACAGCAAGGATGTTCAGGCACTGTTCACAAAGACCTGCTGCCTAATCCTACTTCACACCTTAGCCTTAAAGGAGAGCCAAACCATGTGTCAGCTTTCAGGAACTGTTAAATCATCATCTCGTATTGACTGTCTCCTATATTGATCTGCAAAGCACAAATTGTCTCCTTACATTATTAGCTCAAAAGTGCTGTGTAAGCAAATTGCAGCATAACCCAAATAAATGGCATTAAGGGTTCAGTACATAAATACACAGACCTGAATGTTCTAACTCCCAGAAAAGCATATAGAATCTACTAATAGTCACTAAGCATCCCAGGATTAAAACATTTACATAGTTTTATAGATAGATATTCTGGACTGAACACCTAAATTAAACTTTCTTACCCTTGCAATGAAACAGATTGGAATACCTGCATGTAATTACTGACACAGCTGTAAAACGCAGGTATGAACATTAAAAAATACAGACTAGTTTCAACTGTGTGTGTATAAACATTAATTTTAGGGCAAAACTATCAATTCTGAACCAATCATGGAAAAATTATGAGAATCACAGTTTCTTTCCATCAGTAAGGATGTGCAATGAAGGCAGGCATGTTAAATTTGTATCTTTATTTTGGGATGCTGCAGTCGGCAGATGTTATCTGCAATATTTTTTTCAGTTGGCTAATTATGAACCAGAAATAAATTCAAAGCTGAAATACTATAATAAGGCAACTAATTCTGAGTAGTCATTATACTGTACAACAGTAAAATATAAACCCCATAATGGGAACATCTAGTCCAATGTCTYCAGCTATTAGATTGTTGATGGCTGTAGAGGAAGTGTCAAAAAGAGGTCAGTTTAAATTTAATGTTGGCAGAAATYATTGTCTACAAAAGCATGAATAATCTTCTAATGATGCTTTAAAGCTTTAGCTCTGTCTTAACACTGTTTATTTAGTCCTGAGAAAATGCTTAAAAGCCATGAAGCAATTTTAAGAAAATATTCGTAAACAGTTATTTTCTCTTGACAGACTATTAGGCTACAATTACAGATATTATGCCAAGATAATATATGTAATTCAATGAATCCAGACAATACTGAATCAAATCAAACCAGTATTATTTTCCACCTCTTTGAAGCTGAGCATTCAACTCAGCTGAACTTTCAATGTCATTTGGCACTTCAGAAAAAAACTTTATAAAATTCAAACAGGTCTGAAAATCTATACGTCATTTCTGAGTAACCTCCTGATCTTTCATACAAAGATCTCACAAACTGGATCTTCAAGAGCATTATATAAACCACAAATGTTTTCAATTAATATTGTTAAAGGCATGCTTTTATAAAAATCTTCTTTAAATTCTTGCACATTTCAGCCCTTTTCAAAGTCCCACGTTTTGTAAAAGGAGATGAGTTACCTTAATCCAAGTTCTGCAAAATTACTCTATACTTAAAATCAATTAGAAGTTTCAGGCTTAAAAATAAAGGATTAAATATGATTTTAGGAGATAGTTAAAGAGAGGGATGAGTTTAAAAAAGTAATGATCAATCCTYATTTTGGTGCCTAGAGCTCACTCTTCTGCTGCTTATTCACATATTCTTGCTCTTTCAAAAAATCCTCCCCTTTGCTCCCTAAAGAAATAAAGCAAAAAAAACCCAGTAATTTTTTTACCAGGTGCTGATTAAAATCAGGATTCCTTACAGCTCAGACAGGATAAATCATTTATTGATCAAGTGAATGGAATTAGAAAGAAGCAAATCACCTATTTTATTTCTCTTAGTTTTCCATCAATAGTCAACCGACCAGGTATCTCTTGCTTGAAAACTACCAAAAGCTGCAGTCCTTGTCCTCCTGAATATATTATTAATTATACATCTAAAGTGTGTTCAAAGTCTGTGTTTTCTCTTGGTTGATTCTATGGTTTCTATGAATGAGAAAACAATAGTGGGATCATTTACAAATAAAATATTATTTTCACTGTTTTGGCACCTGAGCATAATGCAAGGRAAAACAGTCAGCTTCTATGTGGGCTTCTCTTTAGCAAAGTCAGCTCAGGGGGGAAGAGCTACCACTCATGAAGAACCAGAATGGGGGAAGAAAAGGTATAATTCAAAAGCCAAGGAGATGTATTACAACTTCTATTGATTTTCTGGTGGATATTAGATAGATGTTTTTTCTTAGATCCCGTAATCTCAGCAGTGACTTGGAAACCATCATAGCAGCAAAAGAGAYCAAACAGTTGAAACAATAACCATATAAGAGAGAGAAGCCAGCCAGAGGAATTTGAGCATTTTTTGCCACCTATGGAAAGCAAAGAACAGATAACTGCTCAGTTTCTGCTGGTAGGGTGCAGATAGTGCTTCCTCCCAGAATAAACTCCTTTGCAGATATACAAACAAAATTGTATAGAAAGTTATTTTTGCCTGATTCTTCATTTTCTATTCAGAAGGGTCACTAATAGTTACTTTTATATAATATCAGGTAATTCTTTCATGCTACAGCTTGTGGTGCATATTAATCAGGATTCTTGCCAAATTRAATTAGTTTTTTCAACATTTGAAAAGCAGTTAAACTTCTAATGACATTTTTCCCCTCTTTTCATAGCCTATTTTTGGAGCAAAATAATGTACTCAGGCCTGAAGAAAAGACACTTGAGCCTCAGGAATGGAAAACAGCCACGAGCCAAAATGTATTCACAGGAGAGCTATAGGGCAATAAGGTTGTCATCAATGCACAAAAATACTTTCAAAGACGTAAACATGATGTTAAAATCTCCACCACTCCCTCCTGCATGTTAAAGTCACACACACTGCTTTGTGCCTGCGGTTATGAGGAGCAAAAAAAGAAAATAAATCTATTTTTATGATTATTGCTATGATTGTAGCATTAAGACAGTACAGAAACATGGACTCAGGTTAACACCATATCCCTTGACAGTCCTGGTTTTCTTTATTACTGCTAGTATCAGATATTAGGATTGTAAARAAGCCATTCTATCAGTTTAACTAATAACTCAAACCAGAGCTGCACAGTAACACCAGGTACCAACTGGGCCATCTGCATCTGAATATCAGCCCTGAYATCTATATTGTACACATGAAAAGGTAGAGATAGATAGCTATAGATATGCACATGTACATAATATACTGAAGTATTTAAATCCAGCAACCACAGTTGGGTTGTATACCTATCAAAAAACCCCAAAACTTTTCAACACAAATGGTCCCCATTTTGCACAGTTGAAAACCAATTCTTAAATTAATAAGTAATAACCAAATACTTTAAAATGTTACCTTCTCACACCTAATTTACTACCTAATAGCATATAGTTATAATATATATAGCTTACAATGCCTATCAAAGTACCCAATATTTAGTAAATTCAACACTAAAGGGACATTAATATTTCACACAATTTGCCTGCCTTAAATAAAAAGGGGATGTAAAACCACTTCAAAGGTTGGACTGCTATTGTTTTTCCCCCAGCTTTCTGCATAAAATCAGTTAATCAGGCCCAAATATTTTCCTTTTTATAACCCAATACCCTAATTTGCAAAGATTGGTCATCAAGCAATGGAAGAGAAAAGCATTTTTATAAAATTAGAAAATTACTGTAAACCACAAAGCTTGTTCCTGCAGCAAATATAAAAATTTTTAAGTTATTAATATTTCAAGTGGAAAACATTTCTTTAAGTGAAAATTTATTCCAGGTTTGAAGTATTGTTATGCTCTAGGTTAACTTAGTGCTGTGAAGTTTTAAGTAAAGCAAGCTTTTGAAATCRTGTATGTGGCCAAATTTTTTACTACAGCAAATTGAGTAATAAACATTCAAGAGAAACAGAAATCTAAGGTGTCCAGCTTTGAATATGAAATACAAATAGGGTCAAATAGATACAYGGTACAACTGGGATTGTCCACCTGGACAAAATACCAAAGTGCTTACRGTGATTTTAGGATTTCTGCTTAGTAGGAAGCAGGTAAAATGCAAGCCAGATCTGCTTCTAAAATCCAAGCAAAGATTCCAGCTAGCAAAAAAACCTACCAGCAGGCCCCTATTTCTTTTTAATAATCTCAAACTTCTTCCTTTGGCAGTCAAAATAACCAGCATGTGTTAAAGATCTAGAATCGCTTTTCCCTGAAGAACCAGCCTATAAAAAAGTCACTTCATATTTACTGTGCATGTTTATTTTCTTCAAGCATATATCCTGCAAATATTCACTCATCTGTACTTGATTCCCTGCCACATCTGTACAATTTGAAGGTTACAACCTGATGGCCCCAAACCTCATCAAAATACCAATTCCCAAAACAACTCCCAGACATCTCAATYTAACAAACACAGCTTCATGGTCTGTTCCCCTGATAAAAGAGACTCAACCCTGACCTCCAGACTAATACTGAGATGGAAAGCCATGTCTAGGTAAAAARCAAGTTTCACACATTCTCATACCCATCACCCTGCCAAGCAGCACAATTTGTATTTSACACAACTTCTCCAAGTCACCATCACCCAAAACATCTGGCAGCACTGGGCAGCCAACTCCCTGCATTTCCATGCTGCCTTGCATTCCCCTTGTCCATTTAACGTAACAACTTATTTACTCAGCTCTCAGACCTTGCACCAAAATCTTTTTCAGAGAGAGCAGTGAAAACATGCCTGTGTGTTCAGTGTCAACCACTGAGTTTGGGTTGAGGATGGTACAGGCTGAACTTCTTTTGGATTTTTTCCACCAGTTTCCTGAGGTAAAACTGCTAAACAAGCTAAAATATTTAAAAMAAAAGAAAAAAAARMGTTGTTTTCATTCACTGCATACCTCCTGATGATWTCAGTGTCTGTTATCAACACTCTCAAATCTCTCCATACTACAAACATTTTAAGTAGGGTTGCAAACAAGGGCTGTYGTTGTGATCAGTGTTCCTGAAATTACTTCAAGCAGCTCTATGAACATCAGCTTGGGTAAGATTTGTTTCCTTACATGAAATAAAAAATACAGAGCAGGATTACCTTCCCTTAGTCGCTCAACCACAAAGGTGAATCCAGTCGTTCGTGGGTGTAAGACGTACTCGTATTTTTTAAGTCCGTTCTTCTCAGCGAATTCATTGCTGCGGGCTTTGGTATTGGCTGAGGAGAGAAGGAAMAGCACCATTTTGTGTCACTGTGCAYGCAGAGYACGGATGAAATGTAATGATCACACAACAGGAATGGTACAACAGAGCTCACACAGTATGGATGAGGAGGCAGACACAAATGTGCTTTCAGTTGGCCATACCATGGTATGAGGAAGAGCCACGTGGATTGCAAGAAAAGCCTTTTTACCCTCTCATTTAGTTCTAGCAAATAATCAACAAATTTCATATTTATCGAACACCATCTGAAATTTATAAATTTTAAGTCTGCTAATAGTTTTATAGTAACATGTATTAATTGGCTCAATTGTGTTCTGGGTTTTTTGAACTCAATAGTCACAACATATTGCAATACAGGTTTGATATTATGAACAGAAATATCTTGAAGTCAGTGTTTAACAACATTAAATTTATTTCAGAAAGAAAACATTAAATAGAGGAAACCAGTTAATCTATTACATTAAAATGGTATTTACATCTTCATTCTGAACTTGCCATGTTTTATTCATCAACCCGTGCTGCACATACCTACCCCATTTTAATATTTGACCAAGCACCTTGCTGTCRCAGCACATGCCTGCCACTGTACTTGCAGGACATGCAAGGCAACTGGAAAGCAGCATGGCTAAATCCCGTGACAAACATGTTTCAAACCTCTGGTAATCAAAAACCTCTCAYGAGAAAACTAAAGGCCTTCCCAGGCTGGCTGCTAACAGAGCCCACTAAGCAAGGAAGACAAAGACACCAAAGCAAAAACTTCTGCAGACAGGTGAACAGGAGGCAATTTGTTCTCCTGTGATGTGCAGGAGGCTCTTCCAAGCAACCTCAGTCAGCAGTCAAATGGACTTTGATGGGCTACACTCAGGTCTTTACTGTGGGTCCTGCTGTGCCTCTCCTGGGGCCAAAAGGCAATGGACACGTGCAATGCTCCCTTGGCAACATCACAAAAATCAATTTGATCAAATAACTTATCTAGTAACTCATATTTATGAAGTTTTATAGGTGTTCAAAAGACAAAATCCCAACAACAGATGCATAGAGCAAAATCACTGCTTAAGCAATCTATCTGATTTTTTTAAACAGAGAAAGATCTTTTTTAAGAGTCCCCAGTCAAGCTTAACAGAGATGGGAGATAAAGTAATGGAAAACATATTGCTGTTTAATCATTTAACAGAAGTGATACTTAGAGATAAATCCTTCCCCTTGCTAKCCTCATAATTTTTTCCTGTAAAGGCACAATAGCACAAGTGAACAAATCAACAGCTGTGAGAGATTTCCTTCTTACTGTAACGCAACATTCCTGCATTTTTCTTTTATCCCTAAATTACATGACATCTTTATTTTTCAAAAATTATGCTGACTCTCCTAGAGGTTTATCTACCAATTAATAAATGCTGTAACATATAGTATACTGAATATTTTTTTGCTGTGACTTACTGTTTCCATGCCTAAGAGTGCTGCTTTTCATATGTGCAAGCCTTMAGATTCACTGCACAGATTTCCCGAGCATGTAATTTGGAGGAAAGGAAAGCTGTTGCACAGTAGCCAAGCAAGTGATTCAGCAAAGAGGATCCAAAGATTTAATTCTTGCCAAATTGCCAAAACGTACAAATACTTGAAAAATATTACAAATCCAAAAAGTGTTGCTAAATTACAGAATGTGTCAAATACTAAAATTACACTTGGCTATGGAACTTTAATTTATCTTTCCTTGGATATGCACATTATGTCTTTAACCACRTGGTCAGAATATCTATTTTTGCCTGCTCAACTACTACTCCATTCAATACTGCAAATGACTATTCTGAATCAGCAAAGGGGGACTTGCCTTGCAGACTCCCATTGCAATGGGAAAACTTCCGAAGTGAGGCATGAGCAAGGCTTGGAATGGCTGAAGAGGCAACAGTAATCCGGTGCCACAGTAACCTGCTAAATATTAAATGCCACTCCAAAATACCTGGATTTACCTCTTAGGTCTACTTGTATTAGCTCAACAACTGAAACTGTTTTCTAAGAAATGACACTGATGACCAAGCATGTTCCTATAAAGGGGTGATTCAAGTAAAATGTTTTAAATTAATTAATCTCAAAGTTCTTAAGATAATGTATTATTGTTTCCAAAGGACAGAAGGATCATCTTCTTCATTTTCTGCATATCCAAGTTTGGCTTTCATTTCAGAGAACTTGCAATCTGCAAATCAAGTCAATCAGAGCTTTGAGAGGCAAATGCAATATAAATCAACATAAAGTTAAGCAATCAAAAAAAAAAAAATCTAAGTTTTAAGCATCTCAAACTGCACACAGTTACTGAGTTCTCAGAAAAACTATTTCTTTGTGTCTGCCCACTAGCACTTTGCTTCAGAGRGAGCATGAAAATGAACTCCTTGCTGTTTGCAAAACTCTCCTACTTGCACCAAAGGACAACCAAAGCATAAGGGCTCTTAGATTCTCTGAGTAAGATCCAACTGATACTGCAAGAATTATCTGGGATCTCCAATGCCCATTGTTCTGAAGTAATCATCCTCAAACTTCCTCCAAGCGCACCTCCCTGTACTTGGAAAKAACTCACTGTAAACATCTGCAAAACATCTTCCAAATTTCCCTTTACTACACTGCCTTTCTGAAATGTGTGAACAGCTGGACATCGGCACGCTGGCCAGCACTATTCAGCTATTTCCTGACATTTGTATGCCTGTCTTGCCTCTGGACTGTAAATTTTATATAACAGAGACTGTTCCACTCCCCTTTTGCATGACCCTAGTGTAATGGGGTTTTACAACCAGAATAATGCTCCCAGCTAATACAACAATCATTGTCATCTGGAAAAATCATCTCCCTCTCCCCTTCCCAACAACTATAAAGCCACAGGTCTTTGTGCATTAAACATTATTTATTACAGCAAGTCAGGAAGGTCAATGAGCTTTCATGATATACTGAAAGCAAGGGTAGGATAAGCCTACATTCTACAAAAAAAGTAGGAATGATGCCCATCTTCCTCCTCCTGTAGTCTCTGCATTGGAAAAAAACAGTTTCTTACTCTTTTATTACTTATGACTAAATGCTCTGACTGCCATCTTATTCAATATAAGGACCTTTGAGCCCACTGCTGTTTAGGATCCTGTGCCAGCCAGTGCCCAAACCTTTGGGGGGAAATTCAGAGCAAGTCTGCTGCTCAGAACCAGAGTCAACAAAAGGCAGAACATGCCATGYTCCTCATTCTATGAAATGTAGAGGTTAGAAAACTGATCCAGGGTATTAGAAACCCATTTTTATATCCCCTGAAACTTGAGGGAATTCACACAACAGATGCCTCTTTAAAACCCCTTAATCCATAGACCAGGCTGCACTGTCAGTGCTGCAAAACTTAGGAAGGTGCCTTATTGTTCCACAATCCAGAGTATAAAATTCCTAGGGGAAATAATAAAAACAAGTAAAAGATGCCTAAAAACTTCCTTAAAAAGAGGAAACACGTGTTCTTTTCTTCAGTGTGCTACTAACACAAGTATCATCAAGCAGCTTTGAAACAGGGCCTGGAAATTAACTTGATTTGGGTCTCCTCAACTCCAAAAGGTCACTCACATCATTTGGTTGACTACAGGTAATATCCTCCACCACTAACCCATCTTAAAATAACAGCAAGTGTTGCTTTCTAGGAACAAGTATTTTCTTTCTTACGCTGTATTTAAGCCAAAGTATATTTACTCCCAGAGTTCTTGCTCATCATTCCTATTAGGAGTATTGTGCATTTTAACTCCTTGGTTCTATTTGCTGATGAAAAGAATAAGGAGAATAAGTTATTTTTATGGAAAACAGCCAGTTTGGCAACAGAGGGTGGTGTCAGACATTTTCAGAAACTGCTTCATGCTCTGTCTCCACAGGTCTCACAGCGACCTGCCTCTCCTCCCCCATCTCCTTCACCTAATACATTCAGCCTCTCAGGGCATTTTCTTTGGGCTGGCAACAGCTACAACCACCCACTTATTTGAGTCTTCAGACACTTCTGCAGAACAACTATCAAACTACACAAAAAAGAATTTCAGGGTTCTGGCCAAAACTTCTTACTTTTTATTTGCTCCTGTGCCACCTTTGGTAAATAATTTGATTACATTTTTCCCAATTTTTTCCAAATCCCATTTGCCACACTCTAAAACTGGTGGAACAGCTCAAAGCCAACACTTTCTACAAGCACCACAATTCAAAATTTCATTTAAAGTAACTGGAAGAAGAAATGATGCTAACACATTTTCTTGATTTTTGAGTTGTAGATTTTAAAGAAGTTAAATTGCTTTTGCTCATGAAAAGCTATGCAAAAAATGAACAAATCCATTTTTAAAGCAAAATTATATTTTAAGTTTGTTTTTGAGTTAATTTGATATTGATTTTTCCTTTCCTTTCACTTGTGATAAAAGCACGCTGATAAAAACATGAATGTTCTTTTATGACTTCCAGTATTCTCAAATTTATTAATGCCAGACAGTGAAAGAATAAATGAGTACTCCAAAAGTATCTCRTACTAAATAAATAAATAAATTCCTCATTTATCTATTAGAGGTTTGCACAGAAATGATAAAGTTATATTGGTTCACAGTTAATATTTTAAGACAAAACGAAGCTATTTTTCTTACTTGTGCTACTTTCAACCCTTACATGATAAAGCAACCCCTGTCAATATATTTGATCAATATTTTCTTTGTACTACCAAARCACATCACATTTACTAGCTAAGTTCAAAATCCAACTGCAGTTCATTGCTACCTTCTGTCATCCACATCACAACATTCCTGCCAAAATCTGAACTCCAGCAAGCTTTCCTACTTGCTTTTTAGCTGTTCCTCAAGGAAAAAAGCTCTGTGCAATCACACTCTGTCCACCTGTATGTTCCCCTTAACTTTTGAAGCTATTGTCCCCTGCAAACTAAGTTTATCAGGGACAAGAGATTCAAAGATAATCAAGCCCAGCAGAAGCTTTAGAAAAAACCAGTGGCTGGGTAGAGGGAAGTTTCAGAGAGTAGAGATGTGAGGAAGGGAGGATCCAGGGCAGGGTGCAGGTGTGTGCCAGGGCTGTGAGCGCAGCATGCAGCAGTCCATCGGGGGACACAGCCACGGGCGAGGGGTGGCAACAGCACACGACACCTCTTGCCAAGGCAGAGGCAAGAGCTTCATGGAGGAAATGTCACACGGAAGGAAACACACAGAAAAAGGAGGAATTGGCATAAAGAAAGGACCATGTACAGGGATGCAGACACAAGTCCATAGGAAATGAGGCTTTATCAGGCACAGAGCAATACAGCAACTTTTTTATTCTCATCCGTCATTGCTTTCTGAAGAATTGCTACAAACAATCTTGTCAGGAACACCAAGAAAAACAAAAGAACAGGCAAATGGGGGTTGTATTCCAGCTTTCTGGAAGCATGAGCCTTATGGTTGCTTTGTTTTCTTCAGGGCTTCAGAAAGTCTGGCTACATGTTTACCTGYTGAGGACTTCTTTTTAAGCCATTACAATAAAATACCTTTGAGATTTAACCTTCAAGTACTCCAGAGTGAAAAGATGGCCAACCTATCAGAAATAAGTATATAATGATATGATTATTACCTCAGCCCCTATACAATCCAGGCTGCAAATATAAGGCTCAGGATTCATGACATTACTATTTCTAAAATTTATTTATGTAGTATCTTCCACTGCAAAGTACTTCACCACTTTCAAGTCAGGCAGTAGCCYATGTATAAATACATTCTTGCTTTACATTTCTCTGAAATGTCATCTGCAAATACCTGAAAATATTGTAAATAGGAGTAAATCTATCATTGTCACGTGTCCTCTGTAAGGACAAAATATGATGGCAGCACAGAGCTGCACGCAATTCTGCTATTCAGTAACATAAAATGTTACTTTTCCTTTTAAGCACTAGAGGAACTTTTTTTCAGAAATAATTAGCAGTTTTGCCATTTGGTCAGAAAAAAAAGAGTCATTGCCTCTATTTTTGCAAAATGTTCCCTAGAATTCTGTGCAACTGTTCCAAACAAAGCCACAGTTTATATCTTATTCTAAAGGATGGAACATAATGTTGCAATTGGTCCTAACATGTCAATAATGTAATAGTTTTCTGAAAATAATTTCTTCAAAATATTACATGCATTATGTTCTAGCATTCTCATGTGGCATAAATTTACTGCTTGGTCAGTATTAGCTTGTCAAGGGATTTTTCCCTGTCTCCTATAATATTTTAATATATATATGAGGCAATATTTCCTGTGAAGACAATCCGATAGGGAGAACTATTTACTTCCACAGAAAATGTCCCAGGGTTTTGCCTGTCTCTATACATCTTTCTAATGCACAAATGTAATACCAAAGTGGCATTCAATACTTGATGGCGAGTTAAGAATGGTCAACACAGGACAATTTAACAGGTCAGAAGCCAGCACAGCTGTGTCCTGTAGTCTTCCCTACCATCACTCCATCCTTCCCACCATTCTGCTTCCTCCTGGGCCCTCCCATCCACCTGTGGCAGCCTAAGCAGAACAGCACAGTTAGTACAGCTAACTGTACTCTACTGTGCATTTTTAAGTTAGAGAGTACATGTTATACATATATAAAGAAGCAAAATCAGAACAACAGAAATATCTTACCAAAGGAAAAAAGAAACTTGTCAATGTCTGTGCTCAAAAATTTAACTAGAACTGGTTTTTATTTTAAATGAAGAAACTTGTTTCCATTATTTTCTCAGTGAATGGTGTCAACAGCATATAGCTAAGTTTAGCTTAAGTCATTTATATCAGTAACTACAGCACAGAGAAAATTCTGTGTTTCCTTARGGAGCTCTACATTCAGGCAGGGGCACCCTCACCACTGTCTTTCAGACTCTGCAGCACAAGTGGTAAAACCCTGTGACTGTCTCAGTCCTCAGCCAAATCTTTTTTAAATCTGTAGCACAAAGCTTTCTCAGTTTTTTAAAAATCTATTGTCTCTCAGGAATACTAGATTCCTCTAGAAATTAGAAGGTGCACATAATTTATGGAATAAATTACAAACAATCCAATTCTTTCAGTCATTTCTTGAGGCAGAAACACCTATTCAGAGTGTGAGTGCTCTAAGGAGGAGTCTCCTGACTCCGTGAGTAAGATAAAAGATTACACCTCATAATTTAGAGTTAGGAGGAGACACTTCTTCATGAATTCGAAGAAAAGAGTTGAAGTGAGATAATTTCGTAGGATCATAGAATGGTTTGGGTGGAAGGGACCTTAAAGATCATCCTGTTCCAAGCCCCTGCCATGGAGAGGRAMATCTTCCACTATYCCAGGTTGCTCAGAGCCCCATCCAACCTGGCACTGGAACTTCCAGGGATGGGGYAGCTACAGCTTCTCTGGGTAACTGGTTCCAGCACCTCACCACTCTTCTAGTGAAGAAAATTCCATCCTTCTTCCAAACTTTAGATACAAGATAACCAATTCAACAAGAGATAGCATGTAAGACATGCAAGAATGTTCAATGAATTTGCCCTCTTTTAGCAAGCCTGATCAAGTGATGACAATTCCCTACAGTGTGATAGCATTTGAATACTATGTACATATACACATACCCATTTTAAGGATATTTTGACTACAGAAGAAAAACTAGCAGCATATGCTAGTTATTTTTATACCATGTCAAGTACTTAGTGATGTGGCTTTGCAATAAAATATKATTTGAGAGTATCTGCAATGGAAAGTATAGTATATGGAAATCTTTTAAATAAGCTAAAAGTTAGAAGCTTAATTGTAATTGATTTTCTATTTAAAGATAGTGCTTATCAAATCAGGCATCATGCTGGAGGCAKGAACCACCACAGAACATTCATACAATGTTTTCTGTTATTGGCACTTGAATTGTCTTCAACACTGGTTAACAGCTTGCTACTAATGCCATCTGTATTAAGGTAGATATTTGAATACGAATTAATACTACAGGATAGAACTCATTACATGTATTCCTATGAAAATCTCAACATTTGTTTTACAGACGTATTTCCCTTACAGAGGCAGATACTGCTTAGAGGAGGCAGCTTAGAGTTTACACGGCCTAAGGAACAAGTATCTCCGTGTTCTCCTCTTAAAACATTAGGCAAAAATCAAAGAGAATCATTAGTCCTTTTCAATCACTCTTTCACAGGTATGAAATTATTTTGTCACAGTAATTCAGAAATGGGAGCATGCAAGTGATATATTTCAGGTCTTGAAACCTACTTTTGCTAATGCAATGTATGTACAGTACTGACCAATAAAAAGTGGTGTCAATCATCAGATTGTTTGAAATGCAGCTTATTTCAGGAAGACTAGCAAAGTCTCTCAGTGGAACTATATTTGTGCCTCTCACATTAATCAGTACATTGTTTCATCATTAACTATCATTYCTATGACCCATGAGAACCAAGTCCTTCTTCTGACTTGGACTTTTTAAAACTCTTTCCATAAACAACTAAGAATTTCCATGTTAATTATCTGTAAGAGACGGTAGGAAAGTCCCTCATCTGCCTCACGATCACCGAGATGGACAGAGACTGAACACCCAAAAACCCTAAGGGGGAGAGAGGGACTTTTGCTCAAAGAAGTCCAGGCCAGATTGAGGTGGGATGTCTGCCAAGTGCCAGTGCTCAGACTGCTGAGAGAACAAGGTGTAGACCCGGTGGACCGCGCTGTCCTTGCTGCCAAGGCAGAGAGGACTGCATGCTTTGCACTGTACACCTTACAAAACAATGGACCTTATTTCCCCACCTCTTGGCCAGCTTCCCCTCGCTTTTGCACCTCTTGACCAGCTGCCCCTCGCTTTTGAAAAGACTATAAAGAGACTTTCTGAAAAGACCCCCACAAGGTCTCCCCACAGACGAAGATGAATCTATTGGATCTGGACTACAAGGATTTTGTCTGTGCCRTTGGTAGCTATAACCCAACTCCCTCTCTCTCTTTTTTTTTTCCTCCCTCTCTCCCTCTTCTATCGCATAAATCGTGTTGTTAGCACTCATTAAAAGTGCTTTTTATTTTCAAAAAATACTTATCCCTGCTTCTTTTGCACTCTGAGATTCAGTTAATGAACCATCACGACTCCCGCTTGTGTTAGCGGATTGTGACACCATCCCATGAGAAGATGACACATGCAGCCTACCTGTGAGATCAGTTCCTTCTGGAAAGATGAGGAGTTGTAGTGGTTCACGAATGTCACAGAAATAATCCAGCATTTTTTCAAAGTGACTCTTGTCTTCTTCCCACTTCCTCTGAATGAAAATAAAGGCTGCAACCTGCATCGCCCAGCCTAAAGGTTAAAAAAATGCACTTTTAGCAATATTTCATTCTGATACTTCCACAGTATCTGCTACTCCAAAGCATTTCATAAATTATGTTAGAACAACATTTTATGTACTGCCCACTTTTCCTCARCTCTGAATAACTGCACTTGGTTACCTTGTAAAAAGAGTTYTRKATTGSAATAAAAAAGAATGCATAAATACATTCAAAATGCAAAATTCAAGATAACCAGAACAAGAATAGGGTCAATGCTGCCCGAAAGGAGGTTGCAGAGAGGTGGGGGTTGAKCTCATCTTCCAGGTAACATKCAACAGGACAAGAAGAAATGGCTTGAAGTTGTAGCAGGTTTAGACTAAATATCAGGAAAAAATTCTTCATCAAAATGGTTGCAAAGCTAGCCCTGGGAACAAGCTACCCAGAGAAGTGTACGAGCCACCATCCCTGGGTGTATTTAAAAGCTGTGTAGATGTGGTGCTTAGGGATGCAGTGCTTAGGAATGTGCTCAGACTTKATGATCTTAAAGGTCTKTTCCAACCTAACAATGCTATGATTCTCTGAGGTGAAGCATTTAAAACCAGAAAGTATCTRTTCCTTTGAGGGCTTTATTACATATACCTCCTTAAAATTTTCATTATTCATAGACGAAAATCTGAAGCTTTTCTTTACATTTGATTACAGAATTAGAACAAAAATGTGCATCTATTGGTTTGTATTAACAAGCACAATGATTTGCAGCCTGGCATCAAAGTGACAATGCAATGCAGTGAAGTAAGTGAWACTGCTGCTGAGCCTGCAGCTTAGGGGTCACACCCCATTATCTTCAGTAAGTATTCTTGGCTCTTTTTGGCACAAATATCTAATATATAGCAGATCACATTAMAAGCTTTGTCCACTAGTTCAGACAGAAGGATAAAAAATCAGGGCACTAGTTCCACCACATGCCTGTGAGACCTTCCTAAACAGGGCTCAGAAGAGCATGACATTGCCTTACCACTGWACTTGGCGAGCTTGTATCTCATCAGAAAACCTGCAGAGAGATCCTGCACATCAAAGAGGAAACATCACAGCTTCCCATCCTCCTCTTTGCTCACCACCATTCTCAAAGTCTGTTTTTCCTTTGTTGGTGACTTATAGCATGTTATTCTTGCCATTTCTTTCCGCTCCTCTTTACAGGGTTCTTTTATATTCCGTTCATAGCAGTATCTCACAAGAACCATATGCTAGAAAACTACTTACTAGACTCACTYATTTTTAAATCAATTTTGTAAGTCAATCAGTCTGGATAATACATTAACCTGATGCATTATCTCTTCCATATTGATTAGAAACAGAAATTGTATTGTTAAAGATTTGTGACCTATATCATGGGGTGAATACTTCWAATTTTTAAATCAGTTAAACAGATGGAATATGCATATCTAAAATCTGCAGTCTGGACCTAATGCATCTCAGATACCCAATCAATATATTCAAATAACTGAATACTAGAAGTGGTTATATGAATTAAGAAAAGAAATGCCCAGAATGCAGTCTCAGCAAGTCTTTTCAAATTTGAATACTATACTTGTGAAAAACCCTTTGCAAARAAAGCCTAGATTTTGACCACAACATTTTATGGGCATTTATGCACATATGATATTCCTACAATCTGCAGTATCAAAAAGTTTGAGTGCAGCTTTATCAACAGTCTATATATGTTTAAACAAATTGTTTGCAAGAAGAAAAAAGATACATTTCAAAGTAACTTTAAGATAAGTGATGTAATTTAACTATTCTATCTTTTGACATGTAATCATCTCCTACTGCTACAAATACATGGCAGGAGAATGGTGACATGCCAGTATTTGAAAGAGAACTAATCAGGGCTTAATTTCTACATTTGTGTTACATAAAAGAGGTCATCTTTTCATTACAAATGGTGCCCAAGCACTCAGTTCCTCTAGAAGACACATGGAGATTGCACAAAGCTGCATCAAGGGAAGTTCAGACTGGATATTAGGAAAAGGTTCTTCACTGAGAGGGTGGTCAGTCATTGGAACAGGCTGTCCAGGAAAATCATCACAGCAGCTCACCTGGAACAGTTCAAAGAGCACCTGACTGATGCTCCTGATCATATGGTTTAGCATTAGGCAGTCCTATGAGGAGCAGGGAGCTGGACTTGATGGTCCTTATTGGTCCCTTCCAACTTGAGACATTCTGTGATCTGATATCAAATTCATAAAAATGGACACAGCAAAGGACAAAATCCCCTCTGAGCAGAAACAGATGCCTTGAACCACAGCATTTACAACTGTGAGAATGCAGATGCTCCACATGACAGAGTGGAAAAATACATAGACATTAGGAAAGTTCTGCTGTGGTTTTGGTATTTTCCAATCATTCTTCACCCTCAACCTCGACCTTTTGTACATTTTATGTACCCAGGATACTACACCTAAGTAAGTATATGGAAAGCCTGTACTGTGCTAAGCCATTTTATTGTGTGGTATCACACATCAGGCCTAAATTATTCAGTCCGTGTGTTCTTATTGCAGCAGAGTCTGTAGGCTGAAAAAATGGAAGCTAGAAGCAAAATAAATGCTCACTTAGGAAGCCTGCTGATTCTTTCCCAGGTCAGCAGCTCCTTAGGAGTGGTTTTGGTCTGTAATAAAGGGAATATGGAAAAAACCTCACTGCCAGATCCCATCCTCTCTCCTACCTTTCTTCATGCAGCACAAGGCTTCAAATTATATTGAAACTTGCACATAAACTCACTCTAGCTATCATTCTTCAATAGCACTGTGAACATCAAATTATAAACCTTTAGCTAATACAAAAGATGCTGCTTGGGTGACTTGTACTTTACCCTGACTAAACTGCAAAAAGCAGAGGATAGAGTGCATTAGTTTCCCACTCCTGATCTAAGTGGTGGTGTTATATATGGGCCATGAATAATTAAACAGAGGCAGTAATGTAATGACAGTGCGATGTCAGGGAGAAGGAGTSGGAAAGGAGTTGGGAGGAATCCAATTTTTAAGATAAACAACAGGTTTGATTTTCTAACCTTTTCAATAAATAACATCCAGTGTTCTGGAAGAATGTGTCTATCTTTAAGTGTATATCAAAATAGATAAAACAGTCCTGACTGTTCAAATAAGAAGAGATTATCTAACAAGTAGATGACTAAGAGTAAAGGGCCCAGGTTTGGTTCTCACTTTGCCCAGCACAGCATGCTGGGTCAAGCCATTTTACCACCTATGACAGTGGGAAAATTTCCACATTTGCTCAAGCTTTAAGGCCTCCAGTGAAAAGCAACAAAACCATGAATTCCKGCCTTCTACAAAACCCTGGTTCCTGCACCACTGAGGACAGTGCCCGCTGCTCACGTGTCACATCATTCCACCAGTGTCAAGTGGGAAAGGAAAACCACACACAGATGACTGCCTTTAAACATAGCAAAAGAGGCTTTTGCTTTGATTTCATTCCAGTCTGTCTGCCTGCACTGTGCTGCTGCAGAGACAACACGAAACAAGTCCAAAACATTATGCAGGAGCCAAAGAGGAATGCATGGAGAAATGGGAGGAATTCAGTAAATCAATGGGCAGAATGAAAGGTTTTGCTAATCAATAAGATTTATGAATAAGCACCAGAAGGCAGTACCTTCTCATGTGCAGACTGCAGTGAGACTTGCTGCTCAGTTTAGGTCAACATATTGTTCAACAAAATTAAATATACTTTGCTCTTTTTGCACAGCATTTTTKGTTATCTAAAAGCTCCTGGACAACAGAAATCTTCCTTAGCAAAGGCAGCATTTACTTGACTGGGGAAAAATGGCTTGCCTTTGGATTTGCAGATTCTTAAGAAATCATTGATTACAAAAACACAGCAGAGAAACAGCAAAGCTAAAGAAACCATAACAATGCAACTCCATTTCTTTGCTAACATAATCTTCTTAGAGGAGCTGACATTTTGGATGACTAACATTGCTTGRAAAAGCATACAAAAAGCATCATACTGCACAGCTCTTGCTCAAAATTGCAAAACAGCAGTGGAAAAACCTATCAGAGAGAATAGCTAGCCACATTGACCTTTAAATCAACTTTTCAGGGCTGAAAAAATAAACAAGGCAGCTTAAAATCTCTAGGAACACAGACACAGTAATGATATGTATCCTATTAGGATGTAATGCTACACAGAAAAAGAAAAGCTCTTGCACAAAAAGAAAAGTCTGCTATTGAACTAGAGAGATGAGCCGTACATCAGAATTTCCTTACTGCCTTGGGGATAAAGCAAACTATAGCTTATGCAGGTCAAGAATTTGTAGCATTGYATTAAAAATGCTAGCTCCAAGTCTAAAGCTTTTTAAATTCTAAGGCCCTGCACTTCTCTTTTCCTTACCCCGAAATCCTTTGAAAGAAAACAACACTCAAAGCTGAAATCTTGAGTGTGTTTTCATTGCAAAGGTAATTTGGAAGTAAACAGATACCAAGGATGGATGTGGCAATGAAAAAAGAGAAAAAGAGCTGAGTTATGAAAAAAAAAAAGTCTTTGTTTGGTTTTGTATCACAATTTTATGAACATAACCTCAGAAATTGGATATCCCCCAAAATGTCACATCTCAAAGAGGGACATTATGGCTGATACTGAAAGCAAGCACACACACACACACACACACACACATATCCAGAAAATGGTAACTGTGTATTTCCTGCAGCAATGTAACAGAACAATTAATAATACTAAACCCCCTGCAAACAAATTCAATAAATGATTCAAAGCTACAGAAACAAATGGGAAGGTAGAAGGCCTAACTATGGGATTTTGCTGTTATATTAATTTACCCTCTCTCTTTTCTTCCACTGCATTATTTACTGTTTTTTCATACCATTATCTTGGTCAACAATAAAAGCCTTATTCAGTGTGCCTGTATYCAACAGGGATCTGGTCCTGATCAGGGCTTTTGAGGCATCAGGGAACCAGACATCCAGACTTAATAAGGGAAATCACTCAGAAGCTCATGATCCCACT